AGTCACACACTTGCAAACACATTTATGGTGCGTTATTCCATATATGTAATGGGACAGTAGGATTATGATAGTGTTAATAGTACTAGCAATACTGACGCATTTCATACCGGTGCTTTTACTTGATAGTAGTGATAACTGATATGAGCTGATATGTCGACACTGAATCCGATCGACATAAGTAAAGAGGCCATTGAGATAGGATCAATATCAACATCCCATAAGGAAAGGAATCCGAGAACCTGGAAATTTCATCTTATAAAAAATGGTTCAACATTGAGAATTATTCATGATTGTGCACTAAGGACTGTAAGACCTTCTCATGATTGCGCACTAAGGCCTGTAAGCCTTTTCAGTACTTTGAATGAGCTCACAAGACAGACGCCGTGCTCGAGCACTTCGTGATCCTCCCTCCTTATTCTAAAAGTGTAGCCCGCATACATAGATATTGTCCCACTTTCACGACGTGAGTGAGGAGAGTGCTGCAGCCGTCGAAACTTCTAGTTTCAACACCGGCTCAGTTAGACAACCTCTTACCTTTACCTAACGGAGTGGCGCTAAATTGTAATTTTTGTAGTTTAAGTTGTAGTTTAGTGTCCATTTTTGTCGCTAGTGTTCATAAGTAATTTTGCCCTCCTCTATTATTTTTCTTCATTAGGAGCACATGCAGTAGCAATCCATCTCGCAAGGTAGGACTTGTGCAAATCACCAGTCATGTAATGTTTCGGTGCAAAAGCTAGACGTGCATTGCTTAATGTGATCCTAAATTCAAACGCACTGTTTTCGAATGTTTTTTTCTGTGAAGAGTTTTACTTCATTGTTTTTGTCTCTTTTCTTTGCATTGGATGGCATTTGGTGCTGGAGGATGCGAAAAGCGATCTGATAGTGAGATGCGCAGAAACCTGGAAGCGTCGAGTTGCCAGCAAGTTCGGAGGGCTCGTACAATGAGGCTATGCTACTGTCAGGGCGCTTTTGTTTATGGTAATCTTGAAGATTCTTTTCGTTTTTTCCTTTTTCGGGGAATCTGAAGCACACTATCCATGTCCTTCACCCATACGGTATTGGTACATAACGCGCTCTAATATTGCTGCGTATTGACATCACTGCGTATTGGTTCCCGCCTTATTATTCCCCAAGTTCTGTGAATTCTTTACCTACGTTTACACCCATCTTTCCTTTCCATTACTATCTTTTTTAAAAAAGTTTAGCTCTTTTTAACGTCTGACTTCTAAACACACTGACTCATATTTCTCATTCAAGTTGCTTATGATTCTATGTCCCATACATACTTATTCTGTCTGTCCCTAACTCACTGAGGAGCCTCGGGGACAGACGGAATAAAGTGGTTCGTCTGAGATGAGGCGAAACGAGCCACTTTTATACCTCTTACCTACTAACTTACAATAACTTCTTTCTTTTCTTGTAATCACTTATCAGCTACTGGTTCACAACTGAGCGCCCATTATCCATGATATTTGCCTGCGGGAATTGTCTTCGAGGAGTAATCCACATGATCATTCACAAGCCACAGCTGGTAGCACTGCTACGGCGCGCCAGACCTGTCAACCCTTGTACAGTCCAATGCACTCACTTACCCCAAGATTTACGCTTAGTAGACTGAGCATGCCTGCAAGGATAGACACGAGATCTGGTATGAAAACAAGGAAGGCGAGACCCATACAAATCACTTCCGAATAAAGTGTTTGCCAGATGACGTCACCAAGAGCATCGCTCTGGAAATATTGACAGATGTTGAAACTCTCCTCATTGTGTGTATTATGAAAGAAACTTCAAACGTTACAGTTTACGTAGAATCGTCACCTGGTCGGCGTACGTGCTTCTCTCCGAATAAGCGTATACTCCAAGATCGCGATGTCTTCTGCCAATCGCACGCCATTCTTGAATGAGTGGGAACATCTCCTTATAGCTAGAAAATGGAAATTCAAGCTGTAGTCAGAGTGCAGAACCTTTCGTTCAATCCCTCCAAGTAATCGGCTCTCTATAGCAGAGGCCTCTGAATGTCATTTTGCTCACAAAGCAAACCGGGCGCGTCGAACAAAGTTTTAAACAACATTATCATTCTCCGAAATGACAGGATCGGGTAATGAGCTCTGAGAGACGATAGGCTCGATGACATGGGTCTGACAATGGCCTAAGAGTTAGGGCCTGTACAATTTGCGTACTATTTCTCCTTAAATGAGAAGAACTGGAAATCTTGCTCAGAACAGATGAAGTTGAATGTATAGGAATGTTTTACCAGTAGTGAACCCGATGTAGTGAATTGCGTTTGAGATACCCGGGTCTCGGACCATAGATATTGCGCACTTCTCACGGCTCAGTATGTGCACAGGGGAAGCGTCACAGACTTACAGATTCAATTCCTGCAATTGATAGGGGGCATGGTTTGGAGCGTAGCCAAGGAAGATTTTCCGCCGATTTGGCATTATTGTTGGAACAAGGCTTCCCTGGTTGCGCCCCTGACTGTATGCCTTAGGAGTGGTAGACCAAGGCCAGCCCACTCTAGTGTTGGACAGTTCTTATCTCGTTAATGCTTCTCTGGCCTCATCCCTCCTTCTGATCTGTCCCTTCTGGTCGGCCTTCCTTCATCTATAGCTTTTGTGCGTGTTCACCGAATCTTTGCAACCAACTGCCGCGAAGGAGTCTCATTTGTGGTGC